CCTCGCCCTCCTCCTCGCCCTCCTCGCCATCGCCGGCGCGGTCGGCCGCCCGCAACGCCGCCTGCGCCGCCAGCAGCGCGTTGCGCCCGCCACCGCACGTGTGCGCCTTGTGCTTGCCGCGGCAGGCCGGGCAGTCCTTGGAGTCGAGCTCCTGTGTGGTGAGGGTAGTGGTGGCAAGGGCGAGCGTGGAGACGAGGGCGGCGGCGGCGAGGGCGGCGGGGGCGGGGGCGGCGGCGCGGCTGGAGGCGAGGGCGAGAGCGGCGGCATGCCGGACGGCGGCGGAGGCGAGGAGACGCGGTGAGAATGCGGCGCGCAAGGGGTGAGCTCGGCACTGAATGCATGGGGAGCGGGTGTGGGCACCGCGGGTGGGATGGCAGGGCGACAGGGAGGACGAGGGGCGGGGCGGGGGGGGGGAGGGGGGGAAGGGGAGGGGGGGAAGGGGAGGGGCACAGCCGGGGGCATCCGCATCTAGGCTTGGCTCCTTGCTGCCTCGACCCCGGCCGCCGCGGCCGCCGGCGCCGCCGCCCCGGGCAGCCTTTGCGATCGCCGAGCGCTTTGGCGCGCGGCCGCCGCCGCGACTGGCGCGGCCGCGCGCCGTGCCTCGCGGGTGCCGCACCGCGCCTGCATGATGAGCGCCGCCAACGTTGGGGCGGGAGTGTGGTGTCTCGCGCAGCGTACTCCGAGCACCGCGTGAGTACGAGGGAGGGAGAGGGTGGATGCAGCGGCGCGCGCTCGAGAGCGGCGGGAGATATGGGGAGATATGGGGAGATATGGGGAGATATGGGGAGATATGGCGTCATCAACGGGTGGCAGCCCGCCCTCCCCCGCCGCCCCATGCAACAAAAGACGGGCAGCCGGACTCCGTCTCTCCTCGAGCGCCGGCTGGAGCGCGTCTGTCGCGTCTAGGGCTCGAGATGGGGGGAGAGGCGTGGAGATGTGGGGGAGGTCTGCGCGACTAGGGGCGCCGCACCCCCTCGCGTGCCCCCCCCGCCGCGGCTTCGCGCTGCGCCGGCGTCCGAATCCACTGCGCTGTCCGCGTCGGCCGGCGCTGCAGACAGGGACGCGCAAGCGGAGGCGGAGGCGGAAGCGGCAGCGGCGGCGGCGGCGGCTGCGGCGGCGGCGGCGGCGGCGGCGGCGGAGGCGCGCCCGCGCCCCCGCCCGCCCCGCCCCCGCCCCCGCCCGCCGCCGCCGCGCTTTGCAATGTGCCCTGCCTGCGCGCTCTGCCGGCCGCGGCCGCGGCCGCCCCGCCCGCCCGCCTTGCGCGCGGTGGTGGGCGCGGTGTACTCGCCGGTGCCGTCGCTGCTGCCCGACTCGTCAGACTCGCTCTCGCTGCCGCTCTCGCCCCCAGAAGCGGGCGGGCGGTATCCTACGCGCGCGAGATACGGGCGAGATCTCGCCGAGATCGGGCGAGATGGCGCGCCCTCTGGCGGCGCGGCGTCCGACACGGGAGCCCCGAGCCTCGGCCGAGAGCACGCCTCAGTTCGGCGAATCTCGGCGAACCTCGGCGGATCTCGGCGGATCTCGGCGACTCTCACGTCGGGCTACGCGTTGCGAAGACGCCGCGTCCGCGGCTCTCGGCTCGCTCAATCTCGGCGCATCTCGGCGCATCTCGGCTCATCTCGCGCACCTGAGCCGGGAGGCCCGTGGCGGTAGGACGGCGGGTAGTGCCGCGCGTACGCATTCGGCGCGCCCCGCAAGGGCGGCAGCTCGGGCGGCGGCGGCGGCGGCGGCAAGTCCGGCCCGTCTGCGCCGAGCCTCAGGATCTCTTCGGACGGCTCGACCTGTCCGTCTGGCAGCATCACGCAGATCGGGCAGAGCCAGACGCCGCCCGGAGACGCGTGCAAGCCGACGCACTCAAGGTGGAACCACTCGGTGGTGCAGTTTGGGTTGTCGCAGCAGACCATCTCGGCGCAGCCCGGCGACGAGACGCGGCCGCAGAGGCAGTACGTGCGGTCGGCACGGAAGGAGCTACGGAGGAGGGTGCCGAGGTCTAGCCGAGGTCTAGCCGAGGTCTGGCCGAGGTCGAGCCGAGGTCTGGCCGAGGTCTGGCCGAGGTCTGGCCGAGGTCTAGCCGAGGTCTAGCCGAGGTCGAGCCGAGGTCTGGCCGAGGTCTGGCCGAGGTCTAGCCGAGGTCTAGCCGAGGTCTGGCCGAGGTCTAGCCGAGGTCGAGCCGAGGTCTGGCCGAGGTCTGGCCGAGGTCTGGCCGAGGTCTAGCCGAGGTCGAGCCGAGGTCTGGCCGAGGAGAGAGTCGCGCCTCCGCTTGTTGAGCTTGCCCGTGATCCCAAAGCCGGCGAGCTCGGGCGCGTCCCATGAGGAGAACTCGCGCCCGATCCCTCCGCTCGACACCTAGGTCAGGTCAGGTCAGGTCAGGTCAGGTCAGGTCCTCTTCTCCACACACACGAGGTGGTAGGGCAAGGGCCAGGCAACCCTCGCGTCTCCCCTCTGACGACAGGAGCCCCACGGCATTCAAAGTGCAAGGCCCAGGGCGCGTGGGTGAGCGGTGTGTGTGTGTGAGTGTGAGTGTGTGTGTGTGTGTGTGTGTGTGTGTGTGTGTGTGTGTGTGTGTGTGTGTGCTCGACACCTATGTGGCGCGACGAGTGAACACCAGCTGTGAAGCATAGCACACACAGCATCGAGTGTGTCGTGTCGTCACACGCCGGCCGACCATCGCCGGCATACAAGACGTGTGTCGTGTAGACTACAGGGTACTCAAACGGGGTACGAAGAGGCTGTTGCGTAGTGTGGTCATATGGTAGTCTCTGTACGTAGATGGTGGTGTGTGTCGTGTGTGTAGCAGTATATGGCCACCTGCCGCCCGACCATCACCGGAGCGCCAGCCACCCCCACCGTGTTCGCGTACGGAACCACGCCCGGCGCGCCGCCGCCGCCGCCGCCGCCGCCGCCGCCGAGTGGGGGAGCGCCGCCGGCGGTGCGGATGGCAGCGGCGGCGGCGGCGGCGGCGGCGGCGGTGGAGGAGGCGGCGGCGGTGGAGGAGGCGGCGGCGGAGGCGGAGGCGGAGGAGGAGGCGGAGGAGCCGAGCGACGCGTACGACGAGCTCGAGCCGACAGACTCCGAGCTCGCCGAGTTGCTCATGTGCTCCGAGCGGACGTATGGCGGGACCGGCACCGCACCGGGTGGCAATCGCCGCCCCGCCGCCGCCGCGGCCGCGGCGGCGGCCGCCGCGGCCGCCGCGTGGCCGGTGGTGGGGAGGGCGCCTGGTGGCTGGCTGTGGCCGTAGGCGGGCTGGTCGCCACGGGGAGACGCCATCGCCGCCTTGTGCGCCTACGCGTACCATACCTCC